CCTTGTAAACTTCACCAAATCCGCCTTGGCCTAGCTTGTTGTCGCTCGAAAAATTATCTGTTGCCGCTTCAATTGTTGCAAAATCAAATTGTAGAGACTGTGGAGTTGTCATATCATCATCAGCTGCAATAAAACATATATGTATGGTTACTATTTTGCATTCCAAAAAGCAATGTGAGAGTAGTAAGAAAATTTTTAAAAAAAGTAACAACTCACTTTGAGGTTTTAATGTTTTGTACGATTTTCTTCTCTTCCAAATAACTAATCCTAAAGCGAGCAGCGCCAAAAATATAACCGTGGAAACAACAATCGCAACAATAGCTCCCGTAGAAATCGATTTTCCATCTGGTGGAGGAGGAGGAGGAAGCGGCGCGGGTTGAGATGCTTGAGGAGGTAGCGACGGCGTGACACCAAAGGCACCAAGATATGGATAACCATCCCACCGGAAAAAGCAGACCGGTTTGCGAACGCTTCCACCCATGAACCCCTTGCAACATTTCTGATACTCATCAACATTTGCTTGAATACAGGTTTCACAATCTTCAGGAGATATCCCCGGAATACATTGCATCAACGTGTATATACTCTCATTAGCTATCCGAGGAGATATATCGGCTAGGTATCGAGGCTGACCGACTCGTGTGATCATAAACTCCATAAGCGAGTCCCATGTTCTGGTATAAGCTGTAATGTTCCCCGGGAACGGTTTAGTAAAGTACTCTGCTTGTGTCGGCTGCAAATCCCTCCGGTTGAAAAACGAGCTGTTCGAGTAACGAACGAAACAGAGCGTCTTGTCGGCTCTCCAGTCGAATGAGTCGGTCTGGTTCGGACATTTTTCTAATAAACCTTCGGACGCAGGTTGGATACAATCAGAACAGACCTTTGGATCAGTCCCTGGGATACAGAGACCTAAGGCATAAATCTTTCCAGGGCCTTCACCGACCGAAACGTTGTAGTAGCCGTTTTGAGAACTGACGTTTGAAGCAAGAGTTGAGAGAACTAGACGACGGTTTGTATCGTAAGCACTGTTTGGTGTGAAAAACATTGACTCTCCGCATTGTTGTCCATACACATAGCTGAAGCTAAAGACAAGGACAAAACAGAGGATTGACAAGAGATTTTTCAGATACATTTTTCTGGTTTGATTTTACTTTTTGCTCAGATACTTGTTGTAGATCTTTGGACATTGAATCTAAATAAGATAAATTTGTTTATAAAAACGTTGATTTCGTCAAAAGAACATGCGTGTTTGAAATTTTAACTCCGTAAAGGTATTAAATTTCATAAAATAAAGATGTTAGGTAAATGATGAAAGTGAACATTGACCAATTCTCAGTCCTTCACGATCAACAGTTCTTCTAGGCGATATGTGAGACCAAAAGGTTAAGTTAGAAAGTTCTAACTTAGTCCACAACAACACAGTGCCACAACCATTGACCTCTAACACGAAGCGAACAGTTCCTAATGTTTATGAATCCAAAGCATCATCATTTGAAACTCAGTTTTCAAGGAGCCTTGGAGTAACGAACAAAACACAAAGCCAAAGCTAACGGTAGAGGGCAAAACAGAGGATATTGTTCAGACTTCAGAGACAGAATTAAGGAGATTTTACGTTGCTGTAACATTTTGGGAACACGGATTTGGTCAAAAAGATGTTCACAGGCAGGTGAGTCAAATTATTACATAAGTCAACATGATAAATTTGTAAAATTCATTGACAAATAAATCGGAATCACATTGATAAACTTCTACACACATCATATACAGCAATAATTGAATTTGAATCCTTAACTTCTTTAAGCATAGACTTTGAAAACTGGAGTTGCATGTGCTAAAGTGAAAATGGTATGGACTGGTGATACAGAGTGCAGAAGCAAGAGTTTCAACGAGGAGCGACTGTAGTGATTGTTGCATTGTCAATAGAACAAGGAACATACTTGGTGTCAGACTCCAATCCGTGGCCTAATGGATCTGATTCGGGTCTGTTCCTGAAGAAAAATCCAGGTGGTCGAGGAACAGGTAGAGTAATGGAGCTATTGGTTAGCATCTGGAAGATTGTAGATATGGCTGGACGATTTGCAGGATTTTCTTGAACACATAATAGTCCAATATGGATGCATCTGATGACTTCATCCTTCTCATAGCTTTCCCTAATTGCGGGATCAATGAGTTCTAAGGATGAATCACTATTCCAAAGCGCCCAAACCTGTCGAGGAAACTCATCTTAAGCAACTATAAAAAGTAATTAACTTTGAGAAACTGATTTTTGAATAGTGCTCACATATGTGACCAAGTTGCAAACTGAGCCATTGGCCTGATAGAAGCTGCTATTCTTCTTGCCGCTAACAATCTCTAGAATCAATACTCCAAAGCTATAGACATCAGATTTGGTTGAGAATTGGCCATGCGTCACATACTCTGGAGACATGTGCAAATATATGTAGGACATACATACTCTATATTAATCAGCAACAAATAGGTTTCATCAGAGAATTTTGCTCAGATTAAGTAATAAGTATAATACTAACAAGGTTCCAACCACTCTTCCCGTATTGGCCTCAGTTTGATGATCTCTGAAATTCCTAGCCATTCCGAAGTCCGCTATTTTCGGGTTCATATCAGCATCTAAAAGAATGTTACTCGCTTTAATGTCACGGTGTATGATGGTGAGCCTTGAGTCTTGATGGAGATAGAGCATCCCTCGTGTAATCCCTTCGATAATGTTGTACCGTCTTGTCCAATCTAGCTGCTCCTTCTTTGTTGGGTCTGCACATCCATTTGCAAGTCATTAGACTAAGAGATCAACAAATATGATTTCAAAAACATTGGATAAAGATTAGCCTAGGAATATTGTTTATTACCAAAGAGGAAATAATCGAGGCTCTTATTGGTGACAAACTCGTAGACAAGTATCTTTTCTTCTCCTTGCAGAGAAAACCCGAGAAGCCTAACGAGGTTTCGATGCTGAAGCTTTGCTACAAGAAGAACCTCGTTCTTGAACTCCACTTCACTTTGATCTGAAGTTCTTGACAGCCTCTTGACTGCAACTTCAGTTCCATTTGGGAACGTACCCTGCCAATTACATATGAATCTAACAAATCATCTCAATATCATCAAGCATAATATTTCTACAGAAACAACTTGAGTAGTTGAGGAGCAAATGCCTTGTAAACTTCGCCGAATCCACCTTGACCGATCTTGTTACTCTCCAAAAAGTTACTTGTCGCAGCCTCAATTTCTTTGATATCAAATTGTAGATACCCGGCAGTTGTAATATCATCTGCAGCTGCACAACGAAAATGAAGGTAATTTTATGCTACGGTTGGTGGTATTCTTTCGAGAATAAGCAGCATGATAAGCTGAGGAGAAAACAAATCAGATAAAACAATGGCGTAAAGATGGCATGTTTCGCTTTAAATGGTCTATGCGATTACAAAACCAAACTGAAGAAAGTATTTGAAAGTGTCAAGTACAATCCAAGTGATAGGAAATTAAGCATGAAGAACTCACTTCCCGAGGCAAATGCTTGGAATTTCTTTCTACTCCTGCAAACAGCAACCCCTAGAGCAAGCAGAGCTATGATTATAACTGTTGCAGCGACAATTCCTATGATAGCTTCTGTACGAATCTTTTTCCCATCTGTGCAAAGGCAAAATAACCTATTCTTAGAGTTGAATACATGAAGGTTGTGTTGATCACTTATCTAAGTAAATCACTTACATTTATTGGTCAGGGGAGGTGGGGATTGCAGCTGAGATGCAGGTGGAGGCGCTAACTTAAGACGATCAAAGGCACCATTGAAGGGGTACAGATCCCACCGGAAAATGCAATTAGGCCAAAACACATAGCCACCTTGCTTCCCAAGACAGCAATACGCATAGCCATCATAACATTGTCGTAAACAGGTGTTACAATAGGACGGAGTGATATCTGGTGTGCATTGCATTAAGGCGTATACATTTTGAAATCTTGTCAAGGCTACTACATCAACTGCATAGAATCTATCTTTAGAAACTGATACATCCTTGCCTGATGATGAAGCTTTATTTGCCAGACTAACAGATAATTGCTCCAATAATCCATCAAAATCGGTTAAATTTGTGGTGAGATCTCCAGTGTTATAACCAGCAGAATTTGGATTCCAATCCAAAGGTCCAAAAGACGGTCGGCTGGAGTAGCGTGCCATACATAGAGTGTTACCTCCACCTGACCAATAAATTCCTGTTCTCTGGTTGGGACAACTCTGCATTAACAGGTCAGACGCATTCTTGATACAATACCAACAAGGCTTTTGTTTAGCACCGGGGATGCACATCCCCATCGCGTAGACTTGGTCAGGATATGTTCCAATCGAACCCTTGAAGAAGCCATCTTTAGCTGTGACCTCGGATGCAAGAGATGAGAGGATAAGTCGACGGTTCCTGACATAAGTATCCCCTGGTCTAACAGTTTCAAAATCGTCCACGCAAATTTGAGCAGAAACAGCAACAATTAAGCTTACAGGAACAATCAGCTTAAAGATCAATGAGAAGAGATTCTTTCGACTCATTTTCACAAACATGAAACAAATGAGTAGCTTTCGTGTCCGAACAACAAGCTTGAGTGTAAACTAACATACATGTGCAGAAGCAAGTTGTTTTAAAACAATGGCAACTTGTTAGAAAGAAACGATGAACAAGTTTGAGGATTGGTCCACTAAAATGTCATTTCCAACTAGACCATTAAAAATACTTGTCTTTGTTTGTCATAATGATATTAAACCATCCTCAGGGCCATGACAAATGTGCAGGACCATTACTAGCTTTTGGAGTATCATGAATAAGCGACTCTCTATGTACTCGAAGAACCATCATTCAACGAAGGATTGATTAACATGAGCGAGTGATCACTGTTGTTTTAGTGCAATGCTAAAGATGGGTATTTAACAAAACAATAAAAAATGGAAACTTTAATTAAAAAACCATCAACTTTGTAAAAGTTTTTGGTCCAAAACATGTTTGTTCAAAAAGCTAGCTTGAACCAGAACGATACGCATTACCCTCCCATGTCAATATAAAATCTCGAGATTTGTCAATATTAAACATTTGCGAATCTTCCAAATTTGGAATTTTCAGGGATGAGCAAATATAATCCCACTATCCGAACAATCCAAGACTAGCTAAGTAGATTCTGATAACCGTAAAGGGTCAAAAATGAAAAACAAAATAAGAAAAGTGAGAGGAATCGGATATGTACCAATCTGAATTTGATAAATACGATTACCTTCGAAAGATTTTCTGCGGATTGTGAGCTGTGAAAATGCGATCGGCGTCGGAGATGGACTGAGACGCCGGAATCTTACGCCGGTGAAGTCGCGTCTCTCGAGGATGCAAACTGGTTTAAATTTTAAATTCTGAATTGGGATTTTCGGTTTAAACCGGTTTGGACTAAAGAGTGTTTTTGGGCTTAGTTTGATTGAGTCCAAATCAATCTTAGAAGCCCAAAGAGTCAAAAGACAAATATTTAGATTCAAACAAGGGGTTTTGTTAGATATGAGAATGAAATTAATAGTGAATGTTACAGGAATAAAAAAAGACACATAATGAAAAAATTAGAGTTTTAAAGCGTTAGTGATTGTTATTTTAAAAATATTTTTATAAAACGAACATGTAAACAATTTTCCGTCTAATTAAGGTTTGGTTAACAAAAAAAAAAGAAAAAACGTGTAAATTAATCAATTGATTTTTACAATGTTTTTTTATAACAATTTATAAATACACATAATCAAAAAATGAAAACTTATTTCTCCAAATAGTATTACCCTTTTTTGGCAAATAATAAAACATACAATAATTGAAGAAAAAATAACAACAGTCACTGGAATGCTGACCTGACCCACCACAAAGTATGAGGCGATGTTACGTACGATTGGATTGAATACGAATTCCAAAAGTTCAGGCGTGTTCCACCATTTCCGAATCTTGGGTTACTAACAACTTTTTATTGGCAATTATAATAAACATTTTAAATGAGAAAAAAAAAACCCAACTTTTTAAAATGTTGTCAAAACTTAAATCTTGATTTCACAGTTCCTAATCTACTCGGTTAATGTAAAACTTTCTACTATCATTCATCTCCTAAATAATGGATTTCACTAAGTTATCTTATGAGTCATTAAATTCCAAATCCCTATATAATTTGTTTTTTGTCTTTTACCTATTTGGACCAAAATGTTTTAAAGTTGAAAGTTTGGTCAAAAAGTGGGTCTTCCCAATTACGATGCGGCCCATTTTGGTTAGGAGATAGCATAGTATAATACTATATCAATTCAATATTTCCTTAAATTTATAAATCCAATAAAATCACACTACTGTACTACTATAAACTCTTTTTTTTTCAAAATAAAAATATATTTAATTTGAGGTGGAGGTACACATAGAGTGGAAGATTTTTAATTGGGGAGATAGGAATCCACACGAACTTCCCGAGAAATAAGTAATGAATATTTTATTTGTTTGGTTCACGAATCGATCCAAATTAATTAAATTTAATTTCTCCTTTAATCTCTCACCGATACATATAACAAATGACGAACTTACCCTTTTTATAATTTTCTGCGACAGTTTCTGACAAGGGGCAAGATTGGCTTAGGTCACAACACACTTCATTGAAGTGAAAAAACCTTTGTTTGATCAAAACACACAAAGT